ATATACAAGCAACCTGCACTCCTTCCAAACCAAACCCTGCAACTAAGGTATGACGATGACAAGGCGAATGACATCCCGACTGTTCCATCTGAGCACACGGATGCGTTGGACGCCTCGCTGGCAGAGCCTTGTCTCTACTATGCCGGTTATTTGGGTGCCTGGTTCCCTAAAAATGAAAACCCAGACCAAGAGTAGGCGTCCCCGGGGCTTTAAGGGTCTTTAGGGAGACGTGTAAATGTTTTTGCTGGAACCCTAAACCCTAAAAAAAACCCTACAACCCTAAAACCTTAAAACCCTAAACTCTAAACCTTGCTGTTTTGGATTCTGGGCCCTACGCGACGGCTTGTGTCCCTAAACCCAAAATCCTGAACCTTTCACCCTGCACCCAAAACACCAGCACCCACCCTGAACCCTAAACCTTAAAAACTTAAACACTAAACCCTAAATCCTAAATCCCCCCTCCCCCCTAAACCCACACGAGCACAGCTGCAATCAAGAGGAGTTCTACGCGGCCTCATTGACAAGCAGCAACACCACCAAGCTGAGCTCAGTCGGGCGACTTGGTACCACATCCGGCTTCCTTTTAATTAGTCTAGGATCGGCTTAGGTTTTCGGAAGTATTTAGGAAGCCTAGGGTTTCGGATGTTTAGGGTTTGGGGCCTAGGTTTTTTTTTTGGTGACAGGAGCCCGGTACCTGACTGCAAGGGGTCACGATCCCCGGTAGCTCCGGCGTACATTCCCTGCAGCAAGAGGGTGCAACAGAGGGTTCAGGGACTTTGCAGCCCTGATTTGAGGGGACATGGGAGCAGGCGAATGTTGGGCGCAGGGACAAATGGGAGTTTGGGATTCACCTGCTTTAATGTGATTGTGATTTTTTTCACATATATATATATATCTATATTTTTTATTTATTTAGTTTATATTTATATATACATAAATAGAAAGAACACATCAATACATACTATTTATGTATCTTTATATTCACGTTGTTTAACGTTTCATTTTTCTTTGGGCAAGGGGAGTGGTGCTAAGCCCTGAACCCTGAACCGGTCTGGAGTTTGGGACATGGGGTCTATTGGTTTAGGGTTTAGGGTTTAGGGTTTAGGGTTTAGGTTTAATTATCACCCGAGATTCCCCAAACACCTAAACGCCCACAACGCAGGCTCAGAGAATAGCCCGCCCAGGGGCGGTTAACTTCAACCGTTTGAAGAACCCCAAAAAACACAAATAAGAATGATGATAACAACAATAAACATCACAACAATAATAATAGCAAGAATAACTAACTGAAACAACAAAGCTTCGTTTTAAGGGCAACCTAGGGATTCTTCCCCACCTTCGGTGTGGGGTTTGTTTGATTTTAACCTCAACTCTTCTCCTCGCCAGGTCTACTCCTAGAGTCCTAGAGACTCCCTGGAGTGCCCAACCCAGAGACTCCTGGAGTGCCCAACCCTAGAGTCTTCTTGAGTGCCCAACCCCAGAGCCTCCCTGGAGTGCCCAACCCAGAGACTCCTGGAGTGCCCAACCCCAGAGTCTCCCTGGAGTGCCCAACCCCAGACTCTCCTCCCCCAACCCCAATTGCAAGCAAAAACTATGAAAGCGTAGTTGAATCAATGTGTCGTTGTTTGAACATCTTCTTTGAGCCTTTTCCTGTTAGCGAGGAGCAAGGTGGAGATGTTCGAAGTGCAAATTCTTGTTTGGAGGTTCTTAAGCACGTAGTAGTCAAGCCCTTAGCAAGCTAAGTTACTAGGAAGGTTCATCAACGTGTGAGGGGTATACAGGTCACCCCTGACTCCTGGGAGCTCCTGGCTGCAACGATTTGAGATTCTTCGTCTTAAGGTGGCGATCTGCGGCAGGGAGCCTCTCGAGTTCAGCGACCTCATGCAGGCAGCTTAGTGCTTTAAGAAGAGGCGGTTTGTCAGGCCGTTGTTACAACGGCGTTGTAGTAGCCTAATACTTTATTCCCTGGAAGTAGTACGGCAAGTGTTGCAGTGTACCTTGTAATACTAAACCCTGGGTCTTGCCGGGATTACCATGACCTCTGTGTTCTCGGAGTTTCTGCAAGCAGTTCTTGGGCGTGTGAAGGCGATGGTTTGCCTCACCACACCACAGCTGTCGCAGTTCGGCCTTGCGCAGGTGCTTGGTGGATCGGTACTTGCAGGAGGACGGCGATGAGAACCAGTTGCCACAGGAGGCAGTTTGGGATCCGTTTGCTACTCGAAAAGAGTGTGCCGAACAAGTTCGATCCGAAGAACCCTGCCTAAGAACCCTGAACTGAGAACCCTTATGACCCTAAATGACCCCAATCACCCCAAGAAGCCTAATAACCTTGAACTCATATCCCTTGTCACCCTTATGACCCTAATGACCCTAATCACCCCAGTAACCCTTACAGCGGAAGCTATGCTCCTGAAATGCACTTGGAAACCGGGGGGGGGGGGGGGGGGGGGGGGGGGGGGGGGTTAGGGGTTTAGGGTTTAGGGTTTAAGTTTAAAGGCTTAGTTTAGGGTTTAGGGTTTAGGGTTTAGGGTTTAGAGTTTGGAATGTACAGGTTTTCGGGGTGAGGGCTCCCGAGCAGTCAAGTCGTCGTGTGGAGTTCTCAGTGCCTCAGGCAAGCGTCCTGCTAATCCGTAAACAGTTGGCCCAAAGCATACTTTCACAAGCAGCCATACACGCACAACAACAACAAGAGGAGCTACGAAACATACACCCGCGAAGTTCAAGGGCATCTCCCCGTTCGAGTTCTTCGGTCGTGGAGTTGAAGTTGCAGTAGATCTCCGGAATGCCGAGGTAATTAATTAATCATGTGCAGTATACACATACGTACACACATACATACATACATGCATGCATGCACGCATACATACATACATTTATACATACTGCGCACACACACACAATGTATCATAATGTATCTATGTGATGTGAGTGTTACGCGGCTAACGTGGTGCCTTTGGGAAGATGCACTTGCACTCTGCCCACCCTCACCACCCCACCCGCCACATGACTTCTAAAATCGCCAACCCCGATGCCTTTAACCCCCCCAAAACTCGGATTCCCAGGAATTGGGGGGGTTAGGTCTCCTCAAACCCCCTATGAAGCGCAAAGCCAGGCACCCTTCAGACTCTTAGGAGTATGTGCGAGTCTTGGGAGGCATTGGGTATGGCAGCCACGGCTGCCTCGCGCATGGTTGCGGAATGCGAGCATGAGGCCTGGAACGTCGGGGCGGGGGGGGGAGGGGTTCGGGCATCCCATCTGAGGGTAGTTTCGTGTGGGTTTCATGGGCCCTTGGTATGGTCCCTTTCCTCCCTTACAGGGTTCCCTTAATTTGAAAAGGGTATATGAGGGGAAAGAAGGGGTACCTTTTAAGGGCCCATACCATAAGCCCCGCAAGCCCTATAAACCCTAGGTTGCCGAGGAGCCGTGTAAACCCTCATAGAGGACTCTACAACCCGATCAAGCCCTGTAAGCCCGCTCAGAGCTATATGCAAGTCTAAAACCCTAAATACAGCCCTGTGAAGCCATGTGATTCAAACCTAAACCCTAAACCCTAAACCCTAAACCCTAAACCCTAAACCCTAAACCCTAAACCCTAAACCCTAAACCCTAAACCCTAAACCCTAAACCCTCCGCGAAACCCAGGCGAAGCCCATCTTAGGGTTTAAAGGGTTTGTGAGATGCAAGGTGCAGGCTTCTTGGGCGTAGGGGCTCGGAGCGGCTCAAAGAGGCTTAGCATTCGTTTAGGGTTTAGGGTTTAGGGTTTAGGGTTTAGGGTTCAGGGTTCAGGGTTCAGGGTTTAGGGTTCAGGGGTCAGGGGTCAGGGGTCAGGGGTTGATGAACTCGTGCCCCGGAAGGTCCACCGGCAGTACTTGTATGGAGCAGGATTCCCTCCCTAAACCCTAAACCCTAAACCCTAAACCCTAAACCCTACAAAACATACTTCGCCGTTTCTGGGAGTTCTACTTCCAGAACGCAAAGGGCGATGAAGGGATACCTTATTTGTGTTAGAGGGGGGATATGTAGGTACCTAATTTTCTCATTCCCTGACTTCCTATGCCGAACTAGAAAACTTGGAAAATCAAACTCCTCAGCAGCAGAGGCCATTTTCGCGGGAGCACCTGCCTCACGGCTCCTCCGAAAGCTGGACAATGGCGCATTTCGCACAGAAGGACATGAGGGCCTGGGGGGGGTCTTCTGTAGGGTTTAGGATCGAGGGTTTAGGGTTAGGGTTCAGGGTTTAGCGTTTAGGGTTTAGGGTTTAGGGTTTAGGGTTTAGGTTTAGGGTGTAGGCTTTAGGGTTTAGAGTTTAGGGGGGAGGGGGGTGGGGTTATGTAGGGTTTAGGGTTCTAAGTCCCAAAAGGAGGGGTAAATTAGTGCGGGCAACGGGCCTGGGCCTTCAGAGGCGAAACGATCAATAGTAGTAGTAGCAGTAGTAGTAGCAGTAGTAGTAGTAGTAGTAGTAGTCGTCGTAGTAGCAGTAGCAGTAGCACTAGCAGTAGCAGTAGCAGTAGCAGTAGCAGCAGCAGTAGCAGTAGCAGTAGCAGTAGCAGTAGCAGTAGTAGTAGCAGTAGCAGTAGCAGTAGCAGTAGCAGTAGCAGTAGCAGTAGCAGTAGCAGTAGCAGTAGCAGTAGAAGTAGCAGTAGCAGTAGCAGTAGCAGTAGTAGTAGTAGTAGTAGTAGTAGTAGTAGTAGTAGTAGTAGTAGTAGTAGTAGTAGTAGTAGTAGTAGTAGTAGTAGTAGTAGTAGTAGTAGTAGTAGTAGTAGCAGAAGTAGTAGTAGTAGTAGTAGTAGTAGTAGTAGTAGTAGTAGTAGTAGTAGTAGTAGTAGTAGTAGTAGTAGTACTAGCAGTAACAGTAGCAGTAGCAGTAGTAGTAAATGGAATTACAGCACTGGAATAACCATGACACGAAGACAAACGGAGCCTGGCTTCAAGCGCAGCTGTGGCTTTGAGACTCGTTGTACGTGGTTCAGGGCTTAGGGCTTAGGCTGGCGGCCTGCATCATGTCGATTTCAGTCCGCGTGCACCTCCTGAGTGGCAAGAGCGCGCTCCTGGCAACAGAGCCCGAAGAGTCCGTCACTAGCTTGTGCCAAAGAGCCCAGTGCGCTCTAGGAGCTGGGAAGGGAAGGTTGCTGACAGCCTCTGGAGACAGGCTGGCGGGAGGTGCAGTCAAACGAGCGCGTTTACAAGATAATGACGCTTGGTATGCCAGTCGTACCCTGTTGCCCTTCTTTTGGTTCGTACCCTTTGCCTCTTTGTTTGTTCAAGTTTCCCTTGCAAAGTAAGCCAAAAGAGGGTACCTTTTTTATACCTCATAATATGGTTTCCGGGCTACCAAGGACGTGCTGTCCCTACATGTCGGACATGTTCAGCTGGCCTCTTCGACGTCCATTGGCAATGCTGCCTTTGCTGCGCTGCTGGGAGATGGATCTGTGGTGACCTGGGGCTCTGCTGCATTTGGCGGGGACAGCAGTGCCGTACAAGAGCAGCTCAAGAACGTGCAGCAGGTGCAAACTTCTTTGTTTGCATTTGCTGCGATCCGGGATGATGGGTCTGTGGTGACCTGGGGCGATGTGGTCTGCGGTGCTGATAGCAGTGCCGTACAAGAGCAGCTCAAGAGCGTGCAGCAGGTGCAAGCTTCTTCGTATGCGTTTGCAGCGGTCCGGGCTGATGGATCTGTGGTGACCTGGGGCGATGTGGACTGCGGTGCTGATAGCAGTGCCGTACAAGAGCAGCTCAAGAGCGTGCAGCAGGTGCAAGCTTCAAGGGCAGCGTTTGCAGCGATCCGGGCTGATGGATCTGTGGTGACCTGGGGCTCTGCTGAATTTGGCGGGGACAGCAGTGCCGTACAAGAGCAGCTCAAGAACGTGCGACAGGTGCAAGCTTCAAGGGCAGCATTTGCAGCGATCCGGGCTGATGGATCTGTGGTGACCTGGGGCGATGTGGACTGCGGTGCTGATAGCAGTGCCGTACAAGAGCAGCTCAAGAGCGTGCAGCAGGTGCAAGCTTCAAGGGCAGCGTTTGCAGCGATCCGGGCTGATGGATCTGTGGTGACCTGGGGCTCTGCTGAATTTGGCGGGGACAGCACTGCCGTACCAGAGCAGCTCAAGAACGTGTGACAGGTGCAAGCTTCAAGGGCAGCATTTGCAGCGATCCGGGCTGATGGATTTGTGGTGACCTGGGGCGATGTGGACTGCGGTGCTGATAGCAGTGCCGTACAAGAGCAGCTCAAGAGCGTGCAGCTGGTGCAAGCTTCAAAGGCAGCATTTGCAGCGATCTGGGCTGATGGATCTGTGGTGACCTGGGGCTCTGCTGCATTTGGCGGGGACAGCAGTGCCGTACAAGAGCAGCTCAAGAGCGTGCAGCTGGTGCAAGCTTCAAGGGCAGCATTTGCTGCGATCCGGGCTGATGGATCTGTGGTGACCTGGGGCGATGTGGACTGCGGTGCTGATAGCAGTGCCGTACAAGAGCAGCTCAAGAGCGTACAGCAGGTGCAAGCTTCTTCGTATGCGTTTGCAGCGGTCCGGGCTGATGGATCTGTGGTGACCTGGGGCTCTGCTGCATATGGCGGGGACAGCAGTGCCGTACAAGAGCAGCTCAAGAGTGCAAGCTTCTGAACATGCGATTGCTGCGATCCGGGCAGACGGATCTCTGTTGACCTGCGGCGATACTGAATAAGGAGGCGACAGTAGCGCCGTACAAGAGCAGCTCAGGCTCAAGAAAAAGCCGGGCCTGATAAACCCCTGCGGTGAGGGCCTTCAGGTTTTGGCGCTCTGGCATTCGTGGTTCAGACTTTCAGGGCCCCTAAACCCCAAACCCAGAGCTTGGGTGGCCTTCTAAGATGTGTCGTTGGCCCTAAAGCCTACCATGCCCTGCCATCCTTAACACTCTAGACACACGGTACTTACAAGGGTTTAGGGTTCAGGGTTTAGGGTTTAGGGTTTAGGGTTTAGGGCAACTTGGGATGTTCCGCCTCATACTAGCAGTCCTTAATGGTGATCACAATGGGGGGTACTGTAATCCTTTTTCAGGTCTGTTGATATAGGCAGGGGGAACATCCCAACCTACACTCCTTCTCCCAAAGTGCCCTAGACAAACCCTACGCAACATCTTCCTGAACGTTTGGATTAGGCTCAGGTTTATCAACTCTAAACCCTAAACCCTAAACCCTAAACCCTCCTACGGATGCTGGGTAGTCGATGGTAGGCGAGCGCGGTGGCGTGCCCCATGCAAGCAAGATGCCCCGGTTTGTGGTAGCCAGGCCACCTGAGGGTTTAGGGTTTAGGGTTTAGGTTTAGGGTTTAGGGCTAGAGTGGAGCAGGTCACCTGGTCTGTGGCATGTGCACCTCCCACTCTAAGGGTTGAGGGTTTAGGGTTTGGGGTTTGGGGTTTAGGGTAAACCCTAAACCCTAAACCCTAAACCGTAAACCCGAAGCCCTCGAACCCCGAACAGGAGGACAGCAGGTTGGCGACACCGTGGGCGTTGAAGCCCAGGCAGGGGCAGGAAATCCTCAGCCCTCGTGAGCTACCTGGCTTTAGGGTTTAGGGTTTAGGGTTTAGGGTGTAGGGGGTTTAGGGCCTACTGGGGACCAACAGGAACCCCCAAGATTGGGGTCGTGTACCCTGCACTACTATAATTCCTATAAGGTCTATGAACCATAAAGACTTTCGGGGTTCATTTGGTCAAAGGTAGAATTATCCACCTGTTCAAAGGGGCGACGGCCTCATATTTGTTGTCGTTTTACCCTAAACCCTCAACCTTCAACCCCAAATCCCTCAACCCTATAAACCTAAACCCTAAGCCCTAAACCCTAAACCCTACAAAACGCTCCATGCTCCGCACTCCAGCTCCACGCCGCTGCCCTCCATGCCGCGGCGAAGCTCCGTCGCCTGGGCGGCCGCGGTGTCGGCGCCGCCGCGCGAGGAGCGCCATCGGGGTTTAGGGTTTATAGGGTTTAGGGTGTTTAGGGTTTAGGGTTTAGTTTTGTTTCTTCATTCTTAGTTTTAAATGGTTCGTTTGGGTTTATAGGGGTTATGGGTCCTTGTTTAGTGTTTTTAGGGTTTAGAGGGGTGATAGGGTTTATAGGGTTGAACGTGTTTTTAGAGGTGTTATAGGATTTGGAGGGTATAGGGTGTTTAGGGTTCATAGGCTTCATTGGGTTTATAGGGTTTACAGCGTTTATGCATTAATCATGCGGCTTACAGGGTTATGGGGTGTTTGGTGTAGTGTTTTGGTTTTTGGTTCGGGGTTTGGGCGTTTGGGGTTTTGGGATGCTGGACGGGATTAGGGGCTTTGAGTTTTTGCACTTGAAGGGTCGGGGAATTCGGGGCTTCAGGGGTTTCGGGTTTAGGGTTTGTGGCCTTCGGGTTATGGAATGGTTTCGAGGTTTTCGGGTTAGGGTGGCCCCCTCCCTGCCCTAAACCCAAAAAGTTCAGAGTTCACGGTTTAGTGTTTAGGGTTTAGGGCTCTATATTTTTTGGGGGTTCTAGGCTTCTGGGCTCCCGGCAGTTGGGATTCAGGGTTTAGGGGTTTGGGGTGTAGGGTTTTCAGGTGTTCGGATTTGCTGTCTTGGGTTCAGGATTTATTGTTCAAGGCTTGGGAGTTCCCCAGCTGTTGTCTTCAGTTCGTTGGTTCAGCGACTTGTTAAGAAGCGGCAGGGCATCTCGTTAGTACCCTAAACCCTATATAAACCCTAAACCCTAAACCCTACATCTTTGTGTTCTTTTGCAGGAACTGAGGCCTCGACAATTGGGGTTTCAGCAGGGTTCAGGTCAACTTGAAACCATTACAATTGGGGCAACAGGCTTGTTAAGGGGCTGCAGAGTACGGTGTAGGGGCTCAGAAAGTTCATAAGGCTTCATTTCTTGACGCTTATTAGGTTTCAAACCCTAAGCCCTAAAACCTAAACCCTAAACCGGGCTCTGCTCAAGACGTGCGCAGGATACTTGACGCAGTTCCGTGCGGTGTCGCAGCATGCAGCGGAGACCAACCTGTCTACAGGGTGGCTGGCCTTAGCCACGTCGCTCTCAAGCCTTATAATCATGGCTTAGGATTTAGGAACAAAGGTTTCCCTACTACCCCCCTCTGCACTACCCCTCCTAGGTTCCCCCCCCCATAGTTTAGGCTAATTATTCAGGGACAATTAAGCTTAATTAAGGATTTTGTTGGGGGAACCTAGTGGAGATCGTATAGAGGGGGGTAGTAGGGACACCCATGATATAAGCCCCTCTACTTGAAGTACCCATAATAATGAAAGCAAAAAGAAATCATACTAGTAATAAGAGTAAAAATAAGAACTTACTACAATGTAATATACAATGTACAATACCCCACAAAAAATACCATACTATTTGTGTAATACATAATCTAACTATACCATACGATAAAAAGATCATATATTAATCATGGCCTGTAGCCCCAGAGAACATGTAGTAGGCATTATGAAAGGTCGGTGGTCTCTTTATCCGTTACCCTTCTACCCTAACATAGCCCTAGATACCCTAATCATGACCCCGAATATATGCCCCCATAAAACAGAAACCCTACTTGGACCCTAAACCCTAAACCCTAAACCCTAAACCCTAAACCCTGAGACCACCAACCGACATAAAGAGGCAGGTGCAAGCGCGGGCTCTTGGAAGGTCAAGATGTAGTCGAAGCCTAAGCCACTTGGGATTGTTGAACTGGGTTGCAGAAAAGGATGGGTCTCAGGGTTTAGGGTTTAGGGTTTAGGATGTAGGGGTATTAAACTGTGAGCTTCTTCTGAGTGGCATCCTCACGTATCCCTGCACCTCCAAACTCTAAGCCCTGCCGGGGGTGGCACTGTGCCTTAAAAAGGCAGTGCGAATGGTTTCGGGTTTAGGGTGTTTTTTCCCCAAAAGAAGTTCAGCAAGATACCTGCCCCTCATGAACAGGGTAATGTAGGGCACCCTGTGCAATGCCCAAACCTGGTAGCGCAGGGCATGAGGCAGCTGACATTTCCGTGGTTTAGGAGGGGGACCCGTATCGGGACTGACTCAGTGAGTTAGAGAGAGAGAGAGAGAGAGAGAGAGAGAGAGAGAGAGAGAGAGAGAACGAGAGAGAGAGAGAGAGAGCGGCAGAGAATGTGTGTTGTGGATGTATGTGTATCTACAGATAAAGATGGGGCATGGCTAAGATCGAGGTGCTTGGCATCTATGTCATGCTAGACCAAGC